CGTGGGACAGTTCAAGACCCAAAAGGATACATGTTCACCATGGGGTCAATACTTGGCATGGGTATTTCAGAACGCCCACAGTGGGATGTGCAACTGACAAGTCTGCTATTGTATCCACATGTCGAATTGGTGATACAGATGAACACAAAAGTAGTCTGGGTTTTCAAGTTACAATATGCAATAATATTTTGGGAAGGGGGAAGATACAAACAAGCTGAGAAACTACAAGAAGAAGTGCTAGAGGAACAGAAACAGCTTCTGGGTGAGAATCATTCAGATACCCTGTGTAACATGGTTAATTTGGCAAACTCATACTCAAACCTGGGAGAGCATCAAAAGGCCAAAGAACTTGATGTTACGGTGGTGGAGACACGGTCACAGCTTCTGGGGGAGAATCATCCAGAAACCCTGCTTACCATGGGTAATCTGGCTGACTCATACTCAAACCTGGGGAAGCATCAGACGGCCCAAGAACTCAATGTTATGGTGCTGGAAAAACGGACACAGCTTCTGGGTGAGAATCATCCAGACACCTTGCATACCATGGGTAACCTGGCCAGGTCATACGGAGACCTGGGGGAGCATCAAGAGGCCAAAGAACTCCAGGGCATTGTGCTGGAGAAACGGAAACAGGTTCTGGGTGAGAATCATCCAGACACACTGTTTACCATGGGTGACCTGGCCAACTCGTACTCATACCTGGGAGAGCATCAAAAGGCCAAAGAACTTCAGGGTGTTGTGCTCGAGAAACAGAAGCAGTTTCTGGGTGAGAATCATCCACACACCCTGCATACCATGGGTAATCTGGCCAACTCATACTCAAACCTGGGGAAGCATCAGACGGCCCAAGAACTCAATGTTATGGTGCTGGAAAAACGGACACAGCTTCTGGGTGAGAATCATCCAGACACCTTGCATACCATGGGTAACCTGGCCAGGTCATACGGAGACCTGGGGGAGCATCAAGAGGCCAAAGAACTCCAGGGCATTGTGCTGGAGAAACGGAAACAGGTTCTGGGTGAGAATCATCCAGACACACTGTTTACCATGGGTGACCTGGCCAACTCGTACTCATACCTGGGAGAGCATCAAAAGGCCAAAGAACTTCAGGGTGTTGTGCTCGAGAAACAGAAGCAGTTTCTGGGTGAGAATCATCCACACACCCTGCATACCATGGGTAATCTGGCCAACTCATACTCACAACTGGGAGAGTATCAAAAAGCCAAAGAACTCGAGGTTATTGTGCTGGAGAAACGGACAGAGGTTCTGGGTGAGAGTCATCCAGACACCCTGCATACCATGGGTAACCTGGCCAGCTCATACTCGGACCTGGGGGAGCATCAAAAAGCCAAAGAACTTAGGGGCATTGTGCTCGAGAAACAGACACAGCTTCTGGGTGAGAATCATCCAGACACCTTGCATACCATGGGTAACCTGGCCAGGTCATACGGAGACCTGGGGGAGCATCAAGAGGCCAAAGAACTCCAGGGCATTGTGCTGGAGAAACGGAAACAGGTTCTGGGTGAGAATCATCCAGACACACTGTTTACCATGGGTGACCTGGCCAACTCGTACTCATACCTGGGAGAGCATCAAAAGGCCAAAGAACTTCAGGGTGTTGTGCTCAAGAAACAGAAGCAGTTTCTGGGTGAGAATCATCCACACACCCTGCATACCATGGGTAATCTGGCCAACTCATACTCACAACTGGGAGAGTATCAAAAAGCCAAAGAACTCGAGGTTCTTGTGCTGGAGAAACGGACAGAGGTTCTGGGTGAGAGTCATCCAGACACCCTGCATACCATGGGTAACCTGGCCAGCTCATACTCGGACCTGGGGGAGCATCAAAAAGCCAAAGAACTTAGGGGCATTGTGCTCGAGAAACAGACACAGATACTGGGTGAGAATCATCCAGACACCCTGCGTACCATGGGTAATCTGGCCAACTCGTACTCATACCTGGGAGAGCATCAAAAGGCCAAAGAACTTGATGTTACGGTGGTGGAGACATGGTCACAGCTTCTGGGGGAGAATCATCCAGAAACCCTGCTTACCATGGGTAATCTGGCCGACTCATACTCAAACCTGGGGAAGCATCAGACGGCCCAAGAACTCAATGTTATGGTGCTGGAAAAACGGACACAGCTTCTGGATGATTCTCATCCAGACACCTTGCATACCATGGGTAACCTGGCCAGGTCATACGGAGACCTGGGGGAGCATCAAGAGGCCAAAGAACTCCAGGGCATTGTGCTGGAGAAACGGAAACAGGTTCTGGGTGAGAATCATCCAGACACACTGTTTACCATGGGTGACCTGGCCAACTCGTACTCATACCTGGGAGAGCATCAAAAGGCCAAAGAACTTCAGGGTGTTGTGCTCAAGAAACAGAAGCAGTTTCTGGGTGAGAATCATCCACACACCCTGCATACCATGGGTAATCTGGCCAACTCATACTCACAACTGGGAGAGTATCAAAAAGCCAAAGAACTCGAGGTTATTGTGCTGGAGAAACGGACAGAGGTTCTGGGTGAGAGTCATCCAGACACCCTGCATACCATGGGTAACCTGGCCAGCTCATACTCGGACCTGGGGGAGCATCAAAAAGCCAAAGAACTTAGGGGCATTGTGCTCGAGAAACAGACACAGATACTGGGTGAGAATCATCCAGACACCCTGCGTACCATGGGTAATCTGGCCAACTCGTACTCATACCTGGGAGAGCATCAAAAGGCCAAAGAACTTCAGGGTGTTGTGCTCGAGAAACAGAAGCAGTTTCTGGGTGAGAATCATCCACACACCTTGCGTACCATGGGTAACCTGGCCACCTCATACGCAACCCTGGGAGAGCATCAAGAGGCCAAAGAACTCGGGGTTATTGTGCTGGAAAAACAGACACAGGTTCTGGGTGAGATTCATCCAGATACACTGCATACCATGGGTAACCTGGCCATCTCATACTCAGACCTGGGGGAGCATCAAAAGGCCAAAGAACTCGGGGTTCTTGTGCTGGAAAAACGGAAGCAGGTTCTGGGTGACAATCATCCAGACACCCTGGAGATTGAGGAACTGTTAGACAGTATGTAGAGGAAAGCAATGTGGTGATGGCTGCAAGTACCTTTTGAACCAATTATTTATTTATTGAAAGATTGCTTGTGATAACCAGTCATGGTACATACAGAGTGAAAGTACATTTTCTCTGAATGGAAACAGGTAGGCTTGTGCACTGAGCCACCTCCACATGAAGGCAGTTCAATCATGATCCTTTTACAGCCATTTACGGAACTTAGGGTACGGGCCTTTTTTTTTCTTTCGCACTTTTCAACCAGAATGGTTGTTCTGAGCTCAATCCTTGTCTGTTTGCCTTAAGAATATGCGCAATAAAAATACAAAGGGCACCATGATCTTCATTCTTCCTGATGCAATCATAATTGCCTTATTGGGAAATTATATCGGCCTTTTTACAGAATGATGAGTATGATAGCTATAGGTATCCAACTGACTTAAGAATTTGAGAGGATGGTCTTGGGTGTATTACAGAGGGCTGGAAATAACGGTATTTTTTCATATCCTATCTATTTCCTATATACAAGGTATTGAGATATCCCTCACCATGAGAATGCAGAATACCGGTATCTCTGGCCCTCAGTAATACTCATAAGGACTATGGGCCTGCACCATCCAACCCACCCTCCATGGTAAACAAGTCAATGTCTGAACTCATTCAACTTTATCTACCTAGAGCACATCTAAATCCATTTAACAGACCTCTGTATCCCTCATCGCATGTTAACCCTCCATCTCCATCCTTTCCAACCACCAGCCCTGATTCCCTCTGAGTCCTCCCAGACAATGCCGCCCCAACATGCCCCATATCCACCTCAACCTCAACTACCCGGCTTAGATATCACCTAATGCAATACCTGTACACTCTCCTCACTCTCCTACGACTCTCACAATGCACGCAGCCCCGCTGTGAGCTATCACTTTGTGATTAGCTCCAGACACCCTTTCGCGCAAAACAAAAAGCGCCTTTCGAAATCACTGGCGAAGCATGGTCACTGGCGCACTCCCAGATTGGAACACTGATGGAAATCACTGGCGCACACTTGACTGGCACTCACTTGACTGGCGCACTTGGAGATTAGAACTCAGTGGCGCACTCGTATTTGAAACCACTGGCATGCTTGCATTGGAAAGCACTAGCACACGCATTCAAAACCACTGGCGCACTTACAGATGTCAGAACAAAGACGGGCGCACTTTCACAAGTAAAAAAGAGGTAGCTTTGTTCCTTGAACGAAGCTACCACTTTAAAGGCCAGACCCCGATTAGAATGAGGGTAGCAGTATTCCATCGAACATCTGCGCACTAACCGCTGTACTACCTGGCCGTGAGGGTGGAAACGAGTAGTGCACAACTATCGAAACAAGGCGCCGTGACAAGAAAAGAGTGCCATATTTAACCAATGACTTTTTGCACATTTACATGCACGTGCAGAAACAAAGCGCGACAAAGACTTTCTGAAAAACCTGCGAGTTAAAAAAGGTGCCGAACTAGGAAAAAGAAGTGGTTAAATTTTGCAAGGCCAGACCCAGTCGAATGAGGGTAGTGGATTGAATATTGCCCTTGTACCCATCAAGTGTCCGCACACTAACCGCTGTGCTACCTGGCCGTGATTAAAACGAGTCGCGCACGACCATCAAGGACTCACCACAAAAAACGCACCACCAAGAAAAAACACCTCACCAAAAAACAGGCACAGCCTCGAATCGAACGAGGAGCTCGTGGTTAGGAAATAATGTTGCAATAACAACTGCATGCAATACCATTACGCCACTGGGCCATATCACCCCAACTCAAACTTTCAACTCGAGGTTTCTGAAAAGGGCGTGATAGAAAATAATTACAAAGTGCCCCACCAAAAGACAGGAAAAAGGTGCCGTGCACTAAATAAAAGGTGCTTCATTCAAGGGTATACCTTGAGCAAAGCTACCGTATGAACAGACCCCGAACCAAACGAGGGTAGCAGGCAACATGGCATTCCATAATCAAGACGTCCGCGCACTAACCACTGTGCTATCTGATCATGATACCTAGCCACTCAGGGAACGACAACAAACACTAGAAAAAGGTGCTTAATGGAGAATGCACCACGCGCAGGAAAAAGGTGCACACGGGCGCTGCTTGGACGGAAGGCACGGGGCGCTATTTAAAGGAAAGGCGCTGAGTGCTATTTAAAGGAAAGGCATGGGGAGCCATGAAGAAACGTGCGAGGCGCCGCGCTGTTCAAAGGAGAAGCCGGCGCAGTTTGAGGAAAAGAGCGTGAACGCGCTTTGGAGAAAGCTGCCAGAGATGGCCAAATGGGGAAGCAGGGAATGGTATATAAGGAGAGCGCGAAGGAGGGAGAAGGCATCTAATTATCTCCACTGCATACTGCTAAAGGAAAAGTGCTCCCATTAAAACGGGAGGCACTGATCCAGTACATTGTCAAATCAAATATATTAGTGTGCCTTCATGAGAGTGGGGTAACAGGGTCACCTTGACCGCAGTTGTACAGAATAGAAACTGCGCGAGAAACCTCCTAGATAAGAAAGGAGGAAACATTGGAAATAACAGGTGTTGAAGTGTGCGTTCAGTTGAAGAAAAACGCAGTGTGATCCTCCAAACAGCCAGCAGACCTACTCAGGCTGCATGTAACTGTTGACTTTCGGCGCCTGCATAGGGCACATTTATCGAGAAGGCGCCTTTTACCAACTCAACTATACCATTTCCCCCATCCAATTTGGCGCACTTCCCTCAACTAGCTAGAAAGGCGCCTCACGCCTGGCTATTCGCGCACGTACCAATATTCAGATTGCGAAGGAGCGCACTACAATCTGACGGTGCTGCGTTTACCCAGTTCTGAAGAAACTGCTTGCGTACCCTATACGAAGCAAGGAGATACAAAAACACCACAATACCCGGGTTTACCAAGTAGGAGCGTACTTTGCATCGCGGAGCGCCAATCCTTCGCGCGAGTGTAGAAGAATCTCCCATCGCGTCTTTCTCGGAAGGCTAGGCCCCAATGAAATAAAATGAGGTTTACTTAAGTTCCGAGGTGATTTTATCGCCTGCACTACTTAAGATCCTCCTCAGCTGAACTTAAGTTATGCCGGAACTTGAGTTTCACTTGCGTGCACGCTAGACCCTATATCACTCAGCTCCCAAGCTCCAGTCGTGCCCACCACTTAAATTCGCCACCGAAACTTAAGTTCTTTTCCACAACTTAAGTTCTGGTCCATTACTTCAGTTCTCATCCAGAACTTGAGTCTTGTCAACCACTCAAGTCCCACCGACAACTTGAGTTCTGCGCCTATGAATAAAAAGATAATAAATCTCAAATTGCTAGCTGTGCATCGACAAGCAGCTACTCCGTGCGGTCCAAGTTCGGCCGTTGGTAGCTGTAGTCATATCCAGGCCTCAGTAAACTACCGGATTGAACATTGCGACGTACCACCAATACCAAGTGTCCCCGTCCAACAGTCATGAAGAAGAATAAGGGAGCTTATTGTGTTCAAAATCCTTCAGATTTTCGCTATTGCCACCCAATTGCCACCACTGAAATGTGGTGAGCTTTTGAACAATCATGATGGACCTGCGCACAAACATTTTACTTAACGGGCGAGCACGCAAGAAAGAGAGACTCTGGCGAGCCTGCAGGCGCTGCAGGAGCACGAGTGAGTTGTGGTAGTGGTGGTGGCGTGAAGGCAATGGTGGACGGACGCCGAAGTTGAACAATGGGAACACAACAATGGGAATGATGCCATCAATTTACTGTGCTTAAAACGCCGACCTCGAGATGGCCATACCTCTCCTTCGACCATCTTCCCCCCCCCACTCCAAATTCTGTGATTCCTCCTCAAGTCAGCGACCTAATCCCCAGGCGACGGCCGACTCCGAGACTCGCCAGGTCACCATCACGCCGCACGAAATTTGAACCTTGCCTCAACCTTGCCTCGGTGGCAAGTCGACGGCTCACTTCATTGCAGTCAGTTTCTTTTCTCGCTGTCTACGGAGGGTTGCGATGTTGATGACTATTCAGTTACGAGTACGTCCCAAAGAGTCCGGTCAAGGCCAAGGCCGGTGGATCGAGAAAGGCGAGATGTCCACAGAACTCAAGTTACGCACGAACTCAAGTGCATGCATAGCCAGAACTCGAGTCCATACACTGCATTTGGAGTCTTCACCATACATAACTTGAGACGTCCCCGAACTTGAGTGCATTGCCAACACTTAAGTTCTTGAGTGCAACTCAAGTCCTAAGTACTATGCCCATTATGTATAAACTGAACTGAGATCTCAATAGCTCATTTGTGATCTTAAGTTCGCGTCTTGGGCATCTCAAGTTCGACGATCATGCATCTCAAGTTTTGTGTAGGATTTTAAGTTTCCTTGGAACTGATAACTTAAGTTCTATACAACCTGGCAATACACAGTGTATTCCGTGCTTTGTAGTTCAGGGATAGAACTCAAGTCCTACAGAAACTTAAGTAGCGTTGGCGATAAAATCACCTCGGAACTTAAGTAAAGCTCATTAATTAGTTGGGCCCCAACGAGAGACCAAACTCTCGAGGAACCTAGCACCTTCTCTCAATCTGCTACTTGCAGAAAAGAAATCTGTATACACCACCACCACCATTTAAAATTATCATTGCATAGAAGCAAAGAGCGCTTCTAGCCCGCTTATTTCCCTCTAGAGGACGTACACCATTTGTATTGCAGTTTGACCGTAATTCCACGGCCAGATTCTAGTACAATAACCGCAGTCCACATCACACCACCTTACCCTCAGCGGCTTAAATCCGAACGCTTTTGATGGAATTCCCACGCCCGTCTTCCGTGTAGATGTATTCGTTTCTGTTCACCTATGGCTCATCTCACGCAAATAAGGGCTCTATTCTGCTCATTAAATGTGCCTGAGTGTTTCCTGGTAGTTCCCTGATATCCAGGGGTGAGTGGTCTCTCGGGTTCATTCCTTTTCTCGAGTTGACATTAATAGGGTTGTTCACAGTTGCCCTTTTTCCGCCCTTTTTCACTCCCTTTTTTCTCCCTTTTCCCCATTCCTTTCGTTTTTCACCCGGTTTTTTTCCCCTTTTCAAGTCAGTGGTGTAAAAGGGTCTAAAAGGGAAGAAATGAACTTTGTAGCTATGAAATTGACCAACTACAAGAGAAGGGTGAGTGCAAAAAGGGCCAGAAAAAGGGCAACTGTGAAACCCCCCGACTGCACTCCCTTTTTTTCTGCCCTTTTTGGACCCTTTTTGGACCCTTTTCCTCAAGATTACATGGTTTGCATGCTGTGGGTACATGTGAAGGGCTCTGGACTACAACATACATATCTTGGGCTCAGAATCGTAACCAACTTGCAACCCAACTGAAATAAACCTTGTGTGATTGAAAATTCAAAAAAAGGGAGTGAAAGAGGGAGCGAAAAGGGAGTGAAAAAGAGTGGAAAAAGGGCAACTGTGAATGTCCCGAGGTTAGTATATATGAAGGCCGCGGTTCATACATTCATACTCTATTACTGCGGTTCTCGCAAACTCGTTTATTTTAGGTCCTTCAGTCCCCACCTTGATGACATTACAACCATCGGCATCAGGTTCAACTCAACCATTCAACTCAACTTCCCTTCGACTCAAGTACGTTGTTCAGTCCCTTCCTATTAGACTTGAACGGATCTATGATTATCGTCCTATGCCCACTCCCCTTTATTCCTCGCCCATCTATCTCTCTTACAGGTCTCAATTTTGACGCGCACAATCCCGGTGTTATATTGTTGTTTAACCACCCGCCCAAATCTGCAAATTCAACCCACCCACTTCAGTCTGCCCTCCCCCTCATTCCTCCGTGTCTTTCTTTCTCCCACCAGTATCCGTAGACTACAGTCACTCTCCATTTAATCTCAACTCGTCCTACGAACCGTGCCATCCAAATATCCGTTAAGAGCTGGTGACAGGCAAGTGGCTGGGATCAAATGTCCGGCTTCTTTGGTCCATCGTAGCGCTCCAACCACTCACCCTTTCAACAAACTGTTGGTGTAAGATCTGTTCAGAATTAGCATTTACAGGATATGTCCCACGTCGATTTTTCATTTTCCCCCTCCTTCGTCCCCTGCCAATTTATTTCAGATCTTTACCATCAAATCACTGCCAAATCGAACATCTTATAACACTCTTTTGGAGGCAAAATTAAAAAATCTGCCCGGGACATATCCTGAGGGTACCTTTCAGAAGACCTCTCAATTTTAGTTTGAGCTTGTAGAGGCGCTGTGGAAGGCTGTAGCCAGGACCAAGTGCAAACAAATACGGAACAAACAGACATCAGTTTGGTGGCGCTTGCCTGTCACCATAAGAGCACATCCAAACACATCCACTACACCTCTGCCTTCATCTTCGCACGTTGCACGATTGTTCCCTCCTCTTGGTTCGATTCGACCCACCCAAGGTTCTGCACGTGGTACTTCAACTTCAGCTTCAGAGAGAACTGCAGGGTCGGTGAAGGGCTGGTTTGGATGTTTCCTCAGCATGAGTGGTAAGTTGAGGTTTAACCTCGATTAATTAATAAAACCCAGCGTAACTTGAACATACAGGTAGGTATAGCCCTGGAATTCAATAATGCGTCGACTCGAATCGAGGGCCAACGAAACCGCCCACCCTCTCGGAGCCTTTGAACGGGGCTTTGAATCGGATTCGGGGTACCTTCCCTTGCCACCCAAGCTTAATTACCTCGCGCCGTGCCGTGAGTTTTATTTCGTTTTGCGTTCATTCGAACCCCGTCCTTCCTCCCTTCCAACTTCCGATTTTAAACCCAACTTCCGACTCAACTCATTCCCCCCACCGCGTTCTCGTTCTCGTTCTCGTTCCAAGAATTCAATTCAATTCACCTCGGATTCGAACAAGTAGGAACTCGACGGCGGACTCGACTCAATGGGCGGACGGGTTGGGATTGATTTTCACAGCAGCTTAACGCGACGCGAATTTGAGGTGGGTGGGCTTGAGCATGGGTTTTGAGAAGACGTGGGTGGGGTTAGAAAAAGGGTATGGGTAAGCG